CCCAACCATTACCATCAAAAGAAAGAGAAACACAGATGAACCATGAGGGAGAGATGACTTTGTCTCTCAAAGAAAGAGATGAAAAATGAGAGAAAGAGAAAGGCCAGAGACGAGATTAAAGAGAGAGAATAAAAGATTCTTCAACTTTTGGTCTACCTAGGGTTTATGAGAGAGAGAAGAAACTGTGAAGACAATACAGAGAGAGAGAGAGAGAGAGAGAGAGAGTCATCATTTTTGTTCTTTCCACGGTTTACGAGAGAAGAAAGAAGAGAGAGAGTGGGAACAAATGAGAGTAAAAGAAGGGAATGACTTTTCAATTTTGAGTCTTCCAAGATTTTATGAGATACATAAAGTGAAGAGATATTAATCTCTTTAGAAAGTGAAAGGCCACTCTATCAAGTCAATGACAGACTATTATGCATACTCCCAATGTAAATATAATATTTATTATATACTTATTATTGTTTCGGTCGGGTCGAAATCGTCGGATTTATATTTAAAATAACCGCAGCCGACCGTTCTTCTCTTCGAAATCACCCGTGGTAGCCCGGGTCAGTTCGGATCGGACGGTTTGGGTGGGTATTTGGTTCATACGAACAGCCCTAAGAGAGAGAGTGTACCGGATCTAGGGTTTGAAGGAAGAAGAGAGTGAAAAAGTATGCAAAAACACGCTGCTGCGAACTGATATACTCGAGGCTCGCTCGAGCGAATGAGTGGTCAGCGACCAGACACAACAGAACCTCACTCGAGCGCAAGAAGCGTCGGTTGAGCGAACAATGCGAAGCTTCAAGTCTGCAATCCAGAAACACGCTCGAGCACAAGAGTGCTCGCTCGAGCGAAGAAACTCAAAACATAGTCCTCGCTCGCCTGAGCGAAGGAAAGCTCGTTCGAGCGAAGAAACACAACCTTCAGGTCAAAAAGAGAAGCAGACGCACGCTCGAGCGCAAGAGTGCTCGCTCGAGCCAAGAGACACACTACTCAAATCTTGCTCGAGTGAAGGAACCTTGGCTCTAGCGAAGGAACTAAAACTCAAAGCTCACTCGAGCGACCAAAGCCTCGCTCGAGCGAAGAAACCAAAATCTGGGCAGCAACTATTTATTTCAAATCACATCCAACCTGTTTCAAACCTGCCCAACACATTCCAAAACTTAAATACAAAGAATTTGAAAGACGGAAACAAGATAAAGACAACAACAACCATGACGGAATCCCAAATCCAGAATACAATAAGCAAAGGAGGAAAAATCGGGATCGCTATAATTATATAGGAAAATAGTTAAGAATTTTATCTTTCAATTAATTCTGTTAAATAAAAAATTATGATAATGAAATATTTATAATTTTTCAAACTAGACGAGACAATTTATATTTTAAGTAAACTATGTAATTGTAATTTTTTTTTTTTTGGTCTTACTTGTTTTAACTTCTTTATTTAAGTCATTATTAGTAGAATAATGTTTGAGGGCCCGTAATGAGTGGGTCGAATTTGGCTCAAAACCCAAAACGACGTCGTTTTGGGTTTTGATTTTTTTTTTCTTTTCTTCTTCCTCAGTCTGATACGCAGTGAGGGAGGAGAGAAAGAGAAAGAGAAAGAGAGAGAGGGGGAGAGGTCGTCGCCGTCGCCGATAGTCGATCGTCGCGCCTCCGCCTTCGCCGCCTCGCTGCTCTGCTCTGATCGTCTCCGTCGCTGCTCTGATCGTCGCCTCCGCCCCTCGTCGGCTCTGCCCCGCTCGTCGCCTCCGCCGATTGTGTCGATAATTTTAAGAATAACTATTCATTTTTTATAATATAAAAGTGAACATACAACTATTAATATTTGATCATTTTAATTTTTTTACATACATCATATCATATATCATATATATATTATTAAAAGTAGTGTTTTTCCCTTACTTAAGTTGCACATTATAAAGCCACATCATTATGCTTTTTCCATTTACATATAAGGAAAATGATTTAGAGCTCGAATATTTTGGCTCGAAATGGCTCGAAACTTTCAAGTCACGCGCTACTTCTCTTTCTCTGTCCTTCAGACCCAAAGTTCCAGCTCAAACTTTCTCATTCTCTACCTAAAGCCCTATCGCTCTCATCCCCTCACTCCTTTCCTCTCCACTTGAAACCTTGTCATCGCTTCTTCATCCGACTACCTCTCCGACGCGAACATCCAACTTCCTTCGACTACCTCATCCGACTCCACACCGGAAAGTTCTCATACTCTCGTCATTCTCCTCCGAGTTGGTGGTCAGCGGGATACTCCTCTCATCTCATGCTCCTCTCATTCGACTACATTGATCTGACTCCTCTCAGTGCCAAAAACTTGTAATACGTTGGATTACCGACCAATTGAAAATGAATCTCAGGTAAACTCGACATCACAAAACTAGGGTTTGAAGATTCAAGAAATTAGGGTTTCATGTTTTTCCCTTTTGCCTGATTCAAGAAATTGGGGTTTTGTGTTTTTCCCTTTTGCCTAACTCACTGATGTATTGTATGTATATATGTTATGCTGTTTGAATGAAAAAATTGATGATTTTCGCTGCTATATATTAGTTTCCTGGTGAAATTTTCTGTTGAACATGAATAAAATTTTCAACACTGTCCATTTGATACAATGTCTGGGCAGTGATGAACAGGTAATTTTTTTATAGGCAATCCATTTGATACAATGTCTGGGCAGTGTTTGATACAAGTTTTTTACATGTTGTTGTCTAAGTTCTGGGCAGTCCATTTGATACAATGTCTGAAAGTATAATCAAACATGACAACAGCAAGCTGTAAAGACACTGAATATTATTCCAAGAATATAGAATAATTTTTCCATGTCCTAAAAAATTATAATAGCAAGTTGTAAAGATGAGATATATATGGTTTTTGTTGTCCACTGAAAGTACTTTAGCACTGATTCATTATTCATAGAAGAAGATAAAAATTTCTCATCCTTTTCTTTGAAGAGTTCCATTGACTATTTAGCACTGATTCATTATTCACACTGATTCATGCTTCACACCTTGTCATCAAGCAAGTATATATAAAACTCATGCAAGCAATCCCCTTTTATGCATATGACTTCTTTGGAGAGTTCCATTGACTAACAGCAAGCAAGCACATCTGAGATTATGGAAGCTATGGAAAGTTAACATAGGGATTTAAGAAAAAGGAATTTCAAACACTATTTTGGGGAAAACACTACACCAATTAAGGAGTAGGGTCTATTACACTACACCAGATGTGAGTCTCTGCATCTGTTTATGCAAATTAACAGGCTCATCAAATTAGATGAACAGAATAATAGGTAAACAATGAATTGCTGGATTTGTATGCATAAGTTGCAATCACACCATATGTTTTTTTTTTTTCATCTTTTTATCTTTGTAGTTAAAATCCAGAAAACCCACAAACCCAAGATAAGTTCTTTGAAGGTGCTTTTGATAGTTTTTTGGATTAGTTAAAACTAAAAGATAAGTTTTTTTTTGGCTCAATGATGATGCTCAACGTTGTTGGTCATGTGACATCTCTATTCATTGAAAACATTACTTCTTACTTTGTATTCTTTGTTTAATTTATATTATTTATTTGGAATTTTTTTTGATAAATATTTGGAAGATCTTTGCATAGACACTAAGGTAACAGCATGCAAGCAATTCCTCATAAACACAAGCTTCGTATTTTTATGGAAAAATGTCCAAATGGTTTTGGTTTATTTTTATTTTATTTTCGAAGTCTATAAATTCATCGGCCTTTAGATTATAAATTATGTTAGATTTTCCAATAATGCTACAATACACATAATATATCATGGGCAAATTACACAGTAAAGTCTCATAACTAAATCACTACCTTTCGATAATCAAAATTACCACTACATTTCAATTCATTTATTGATTTTTCATCATTTATTTGTTTTGATCCACGATTCCAATTCATTTATTGATTTTTCATTCTATATTTCTATAATTTTCATTGTAATCAATCAATTCGAGTCTAGATTCTTACAATCTTGTAATGGGCTACGAATCTATTTATTCTGTACTTTTTTTTTCTTTTTTTTTTGCAACATTATATATATATATATATATATTACTTCAAGTTCGCAGACGATGATGATGAGGACGTTACCTCCACAATCTGTTCCATTACTATACTTCGTAAAGCTATAAGGACAGAGGAATTCAATGATGTAAGGACAACGCTTTCGGAGATGGACACTAAAATTCATGACCATGGTAGAAGGCTTCGAAGGATGGAAAATAATTTCAAGGCGATGATTTATGTGATTGTATTCTGCATCATTTTGTACTTTATAATGTAAGTTAGTTAAACATTTAGGTTTTGGGGAATTTTATGGATGTAATTATGGATGTACTTATGGATGTACTGGACATGATGGATCAAGTATATATGTTATCTTTTCAATATTGTCATGAATTGAATGTCGTGTTCTCATGGATTGTGGATATATGTTGTCACAGGTATATGTTGTCATTGTAAATTCAATTTTTTTATGTTACTGTTGGACTTGTTCTGGAGCTGTTTTTCAACAGTTTTAGGCTTGTTTTGGTCTTTCAATATATCTATTCAACATCATTTGAGCCTCCAAAGAGACTATATCTGTTGAACATGAATAAAATTTATCAAGAATACAAAAAATGCAACAGCAGCAGCCATTGTGACAACACAAATGTAGCAGCTACACAAAATTCATTGAAGTTGTGTACTTGAACAAACATATGCTCTCTCACCACCTTTTTTGCATTTTTTTTTAAAACCTTTTATATGACCACTATACTTGATAAGATATTTTTTACTTTCATTTCATTCTATAGTGTAATAAAAAAAAATCATCCAATCATGAACATCTAGAAAGAAATAATACATTCTAGAATCTAATTTCCATGCAATTTCACCATGAATACCTGTTAGTATAATAGCCAATTCTCCAAAAAAGCCATTACAAAGAAATATAAGAACAAATAAAATTCAAAATTGATAAACACAACAAATAAAAATAGAACTTCTCTATTTTATTGCAAGGGGAAAAAATGGTTACAAAAAATAGAACTTCTATTTTATTACAATTAAAGCCTCAAACAGAACTTCTCCATTCCCCTTCCTGTCAATCCTCTGCTTTTCATCATCAATGGCAGCATCATTCTCCATCTTGGGCTTCTTGTAGAGCATGAAATTCCTAACTCCAACTGACTCAAAGCTACAAAAAAAACAAAAACAAATTCAAAATCAAAATAAAGCCTGAAAATATTGAAAATAGAAGATTAAAATTTGTGAGATTGAAAATAGCTCAACCAGCTGCTGCTGCTGCACAAAATTCATTTACAAAATGCAGTAGCAGCAACATTGAGTTCAACCAGCAGTAGATGAATTTTGTTCAACATTGACACACCAACAAAACAAGACAAATGCAGCAGCAGCAAACAAAAGTCAAACCAAAGTCATCAAAGTAGTTCTAATAAAATGCAGCAGCAGCATTGACTCCAACAAAAAAAAAATGCAGCATTGACACAAACAAAGGATTCGTTTCCGGTTCTTCAACTTCCTCGCTCCCATTCAATGAAGGATTATTTGAATCAATGTCCATTGACGCATATAACTTGAAACAAAAATTCAGTCTACATAACCAGTAAACAGACATAAAAGAAAGTGTAAGTGAATGTAGATAGTTAAAAGGTAGAGTGTATTAACAGAAATTCAGTCCATGTATTCTTTCACCTCCCAAACCAGACTGTATGACAAGTACGTCCAAAACCCCTCACATTTTGTACACAAAAAAAGCCTCACTAATTGAAAAAAAAAAACCATATTTTCACAAATTTAAACTAATTCCCATCACATTCAAGCAATAAACATAATTTTGACTTCATAGAATGCATCAGAATTTACTATTTTCATTAAACTGGAATGCATCATAATTGATACAAAAATCTGGAATGCCCACTTCATACATGAATGCATCAGAATTTACTATTTTCATTAAACTGGAATGCATCATAATTGATACAAAAATCTGGAATGCCCACTTCATACATGAATGCATCAGAATTTACTATTTTCATTAAACTGGAATGCATCATAATTGATACAAAAATCTGGAATGCCCACTTCATACATGAATGCATCAGAATTTACTATTTTCATTAACAAAATTACAATTTCTCTATGTGGACTTTCATCAAACACCTGGAATGCATCACTACCAAAACATTGGCCATACAACCAATGAAAAAAAAAAAAGCCCAGACCATTGCAGACATCTCAAATGCATCACAAAAATCAATAGATTTGCACCTATCACAAATGCAAAAAAAAATCAGAAGAGGAACTTACCAAATCTCCTATGCATGGCGGTAGGGATTTCGAACATAGGTGGTAGTCGTCGGAGAAGATGTTTCACTGTCTTAGCTTACCTAAGTCAGTTGTCGGCGAACACCCAAGTCGGTCGGTCGTCTGCTCTCCTGTTTCCCGCGCTCGGTCGTCTCCTCTCCTCTCTAATGTGTTTTGCGTTTTGCGTTTTTTTTTAAATTAGTGACTTTTTTATGATGAACTTTTTAAATTATGTTGAAAGTTAAAAATTAATAATTTTTTTTATAACGATTTTTTTAAACCGTCGCTAAAACTTATAATTAGTGACATTTTTTGTGACAAATTTTAAATTGTCACTAAAAATTAACAATTAATGACATTTTTTAATAGTATTTGATGAAAAATATTATTAATTTTCACGGAACATATTAGACAATAAATTCACATATTAAAATCTACATGTAAGTCGGTCAAAATTTTATTCACACATTTTTTAAGTTTATGAATAATACATCCATATTGATTGGTCTAAAACAATACACAAAGATGGGGAAATACAAATTCTACATATTAAAATCAATTATTAAAAGATATGTGAATTAATTCATTTTTATTAACATTAACTATAATAATCTCGAACAAAATATTACAAGTAATAATATAAAAACCGCAACTATTGCCGAGGGTCACTGTCACTTTCCGACAAAGCCGTCCACGACTTTCCAACAAGTATTTACATTATGCGAAGAACACAAAGTGGAATGTTTCGGCTCCGTTTGGTAGAGCTTTGTAACTATGATTTGAGAATATGAGTTGTATTTTGAGTTTGTGTGTTTTAGAATTATGATTTTAACGTAGAAAATTTGTTTGGTTATGATTTTTGAATAAAGTGTTGAATTGAGTGTAGAATTGAGTTTTGAAAGTTTGATTTGACATGTGAAGTAAGAAAATTTGTTTGGTTATGAGTTTTGAAAAGAGTTTTCAAAACTTAATTCAAATTGTTATAACTCATAACAAAACACATTACTTTCACATTATTGAAAATTTTGATCAACACTCATAACCAAACTCTTTTTAAAATTCAATTAAAAAAATTTATTATTAACAAAAAATAACATTAATCAATTTTTTAATTGAAAATACTACAAAGGAAATAATTTTTTTTCAAAATAAATATTCAAAAAATTTAAATCATAAATATTTAAATAATTTAAATAATCTAAAAAATTTAATAAGTAAAAAATTAAAATAATTAATCAAATTTTTAATTGAAAATACTACAAAGGAAATAAGTTTTTTTCAAAATAAATATTCAAAAAATTTAAATCATAAATATTTAAATAATTCAAATAATCTAAAAAATTTAATAAGTAAAAAATTTAAATAATTTTAAATGTTAATATTTTAAATTTAAAAATAACTCTACACTCAAATCGTAACCAAACACATAAAACAAAACTCAATTAAAAAATTATTTTTAAAACTCATAACCAAACACATAACTCGAAACTCCATACTACTTTCACAACTCTACACTCAAATCGTAACCAAATACATAACAAAAAAATTAAAATATTTAAAAATATTTTTATAAAATAGAGTTTGAATTTATTTTTATAAAATATTTTAAAATTTAAAAAATTAAAATCGTAATATTTAAAAATATTCAAAAAATTAAAAAAATTAAAAAATTAAAAAAATCGTAACATATTTAAATATTAAAATATTTAAAATCTTAACAAAATTAAAATATTTTTAAAATATTGATTTGAATGGAGTTTTGAATTTGTGTTTGGTTATGAGTTTTGAAAAGTAATGATTATGTTTTGAATTGAGTTTTGAAAAATGAGTGTAGAATTATGATTTGAAAACCCTAAACAAACACCATACTCAAAAGTGAGTGTGGAACTAGATTTTGAAAACTCCACCAAACGGACTGTTTCTCCAAAGAGCCTCTCAAATATTCAAATGGAGCTGAATTTATCTGTTCATTTTCAAATTCATAAATTGAGGATATGTGCATTTTCAAATTCAAAAATAAGTACAAATATTTATGTCGTTACACTTCCAAATAAAAAAATTATCTCAACTTTCAATCTAATCATCATTTAAAATATAAAAATTATTATTTATTCTTTCAAGTTAAAAGCTAGTAAACAAAATAATTACCGATTGCTGCGACTAGAGAGATTATAAAAATACACAAGTTTATTTTTCATTAATACCAAAGAAGAGCATATCTGAAATTAAATGTCCTTTACACCAACATATTCGAATTACTATGTCCATATAATAAAACAAAAACAAAATAGCAATCTCACTTGAAAAGAGGATTTATAGTCAATTGCCCCTTTTTAAATTTAAAATGTGATTATTAACCACATTTTAAAGTAGTTTGAGAAATAATTTGATTTGTATACTAATTATTTTGATTTTTAAAAAACTGATCAAGTCAAAGAACCCTTTGTAGCACTCTTTATGACAAATAAAATGCACAACCAACCACAGACACTCACATCCTTGCATTATATACCACCGATCTGTTAAAACTGACCGAATCAAACCGATCCGCCGCATTTTGAACGGATGTGTGATTACAAGCGGACAGTTGCGGATTGATTTTCTCCAATCTGCCAATTTGACAGACAGATGGCGGATTTGAGATTTATTTGACCGCAACCGAATCGCCAAACCGCCAAACCACGAGCACCCCTAGTAATTTATAAGATTTTGTATTTTTAATTTGTTTAAATATTATGTTTGTGTTTTCAATTGAAAAAGAGTTTAAATATTCTGTTGAAAAAAAATTTTCAACTTGAATATATTTTTTGAATTGAAAAAATAAATGTATTATTTATCTATATTTTTTGATTTTTAAATCTAAATCTAAAAATAATAAATAGAAAATATGATATATACTGGTTGGTTTTTGTTTTCAAAAACATATGTAGATGTAACAATGCAGAGACATACAATCTCTACTACTGTTCTGTTCATGATTTTGGTGGTTTGAATTGTTATTATATTTTAAGAATCACAGATTGTAATACTTTATGTGGATGAATCATACTGTGATTATAATATGTGAATGAGGCATGCAGTGATCGTGATATTCTAAAGTTTTAAACTTTCTTTCTTTAAATAAGGCATACAGTGATTGCGATACTTTTTTAAGTCATTGACTGTAATACTTTATTTCTTTTTTTTTTTTTGAGAAAGTACACAAGTTGAATTATGTTAAAAATTTATAAAATTTTAAACCGCAAAACCGATTCGCATCCATCCGCCAAACCGCCAATCCGCTCAACCACATCCGCCGAATTGGCGGACGGATGCGGGTTGATTTTCTCCAATCCGCCAATCTGGCGGACGGATGGCGGATTGGAGGTTCCGTGGCCGCAACCGACCCGCGCCCACCCCTACCTAGTAATTTCTTTCATTAATCACCAAACACCATTCTTCACGTTGTTCTTTCATTATTCAACACTGAGCGTCATCCCCAACATAATTCACAACTCCTCAAGGCCATCAAATAACTTCTCAAAATATACATATATGGGGTCTTTTGAGAAGCGAAAAAAAAGGGGGTAAATTTTTAGCTTTTTATTCATTTTGACTCATCACTTTTCACATTTTTTACTCATAAAAAAATAAATTAAAAAAACCAACAATTAAATTTTTTATCAACTTTTCAAAACACCACAGGGGTGTTTGGCAAGGGCTTTTTTGGGCTTTTGGGCCTAAAATTCACAAAAAGACAAAATATGCTAAAATAACTAATAAGACAAAATATCACATCAAACCCATAATCATTTTATTTTTTCTCTCACAAACATCACATCAAACTACAAAAAAATCAAACTATCTTTCCAAACACAAAAATTTTAACCTACTAAAATAATCAAAAACTATAACTTACTAAAATACCAACTTTCCAAATACCCACATAATCTGATCAGACAGTAGTGAACCAATCCATGGCCTCGTTTGGTAAAACTGTAAAAAAGTGATTATACATTATAACTTAACAGATTATGACTTATAGCTGTGAATATAAGCTGTTAACCTGTTTGGTGCAGTTGTGAGATTATGGATTTAAGCAGCAGAGTAGTGTTTGGTTAATAAGCTGTAAAATAACTTTTTACTGTATAATTGTCCTTTCTACCCTTATATGATATTAAAATGATTATTTTTTTCATTTTTTCAGTTTTAAATTAAAAAAATATTTCATTAATAAAAATTAATATAATTAGTATTAATTAGTATCAATTAATATAAAAATTGATGTATTTGATAAAAATGTAATGGAAGTATTATTGTCACAATTTTTTTTCCATTATAAATTAATTAGTATCAATTAATTTCTTAATTAGTATCACTTAATACTAAAATTATTAATTAGTATCAATCAATGGATTAATTAGTATAAATTAATTTTTATTAGTATCAATTAATATTAATAATCAACAATTGTTATTAATTAGTATCAATTAATAATTAGTTCATTACAAAAATATACAATATTAATTTATTAATAATTAATACCAATTAATATTTATTTTTTCTTTTTCTTCAAAAATATACAATTTTTTATTTTTTAATTAATATAAAAATATACAATATGAATTTATTAATAATTAATACCAATTAATATTTCTTTTTTAATTAATATTGATTTTTTTTCTTTTTCTTCAAAAATATACAATTTTTTATTTTTTAATTAATATAAAAATATACAATATGAATTTATTAATAATTAATACCAATTAATATTGATTTGGATGGGACAATGAAACTATTGGACCAAAAACACTGCTATCATATATGGCCCAAGGGCCACCACTAATTTGGCCCACTTCAATAACTAGTTTTGCTATAAAATATTTCTTTATTAACCCCTTGGCTATCCTTTTGATTATTATTAAGAGAAAATTGATAATAAATTCAATTTAGAAAGTGTCCAAGACATTAGATCTAGTGTTTTTTTTTTTAATCTGTTTTTCAACAGTTTTAGGCTTGTTTTGGTCTTCCAATATATCTTTTCAACATCATTTGAGCCTCCAAAGAGACTATATCTGTTGAACATGAATAAAATTTATCAAGAATACAAAAAATGCAGCAGCAGCAGCTGTGACAACACAAATGTAGTAGTAGCTGCACAAAATTCATTGAAGTTGTGTACTTGAACAAA